TCTATCTATCTATCTATCTATCTCAACCTGTTCATATCTGTCAATTTCGGTTCTACAGATCTATCTATCTATTCATCTATCTATCTATCTATCTATCTATCTATCTATCTATCTCAACCTGTTCATATCTGTCAATTTCAGTTATTACAGATCTATCTATCTATCTATCTATCTATCTATCTATCTATCTATCTATCTATCTCAACCTGTTCATATCTGTCAATTTCAGTTACTACAGATCTATCTATCTATCTATCTATCTATCTATCTATCTATCTATCTATCTATCTATCTATCTATCTCAACCTGTTCATATCTGTCAATTTCAGTTACTACAGATCTATCTATCTATCTATCTATCTATCTATCTATCTATCTATCTATCTATCTCAACCTGTTCATATCTGTCAATTTCAGTTATTACAGATCTATCTATCTATCTATCTATCTATCTATCTATCTATCTATCTATCTATCTCATCCTATAAATATCCATCTCATTGTATTCGTATCGTCCTATTCGTATCTATCTAGATATCTACACCCCCACTGCACACATATATGTGTGTGTGTGTCTCTGTGTGTGTGTGTCTCTGTGTGTGTGTGTCTCTCTGTGTGTGTGTGCATATAGGTGTTTACTTATCTAACTATCTATCTCTCTATCTATTCATCTCAGTTTCATTTATATCGATCTATATCGATCTATCTATATATCTATCTCAGTCTCTATCCTTCAACCCAACTATATTTACTTAATAGGACATGTGTCAGTAAATCATTATCTCCCCCAAATTATTAAAATTATATTTTTTATTATTACAATCTAAACATATTTTGTATTATATTGGCATCTTATTTAAAATACTCCATATATATTCGTTTTTCTGTGTGTGTAATAGTTGAGGGGCAGTGTGTAAAATAACGCTGACCCTACCGCTGCCTTGCTAACACGGTCGTATTGCCTCGTTGGCTGAGGTAGACTGTTCTAGTTCCACGTGCCATGTCTAAAGGATGTCAGTTATCAGTTATCTCCTGTTAATTTCCCTCACCAAGTTCTCCACCGCCTTAACCATGTACTGAACTCACACTCTTTGGGTCCTGTCATTGGATCTAACGAACGTCTTTATCCACTGTGCCATGTGTCCTCTACTACATTGAACGAAAGGGTTCAGTTCAACATTCCAATCAACAGGGCCGAAACGTTGTGGTAAATATGGCAACAAAGATGAGGATGATAGTCCGAGCAATGTAAATAGTGCATAAATAAACTGTTTGTATAAATCTAATGTTTTGTGTTTATCCTTTTTTAAACAACAGCATATTAATAATAATAAAGTTTATGTGATAATTTTAACATTGCATAACTATTTCTTAATAAATTTTTACCAAATACCAATTCAGTATCATTTACTTAAATTAATAACTGATCCCCAATGAGGATTCATCATTAATAGAGGGATCAATGAATAGAAATATTAGTGGACACTGTTCAATTATTAGCGTCAGCAACGAACTATTTTAGATTACAAAATTGTACTTGGATTAAATGAATATTACTTATAATATAATACATATTACTTGCAATACATACCTTCTTGCAGTCAATTTTGACGGCACGAGTTCAGTAGTTTAATTGTATTGATACTAGCCCGTGCTTGATTCAAAAATCGTACGACTCATACAGCAATTACTATCACATGACTTAAAATATTTTTGTCCTTCCTTGCCTTTAAAGGAGTGCCCTTTGCCGTGCTGATGTTGCTACATGCCTTACTTCTTGCCTATCTAACACTGCGAATTTTTTCAAAACATTAAATCTGTTACAAACAAAGAACTAAACAAAATGAACACAAAACGATCAGCTTTAAAAAAGGACTCGTAACTGGAAAAACCGAATGAAAAAAGAATGTTAACAACAAATAATTTTTCACACCTAAACCCAGTTCTGCGGAATCAGAATCAACGTTGAGTTTAAGCAAGCGAATAAGCCAATTGGAGAAAAGTGCCATGCAGATTTAAATTTTTCACACTTGTGACGAATGCAGCTATCGATTTTCTTGCATGCTAGCATGTTAGTTAACATTCGTGTCAGTCAGTTGTTGGCTCACACGCTGGCCAATAGAATCTTTCTGCCTATTCGCGGTAGCCAGCTATAGCCTCTCACTCTGGCCAGTAGAAAATGGCCGTAAACTACATGAAAACTGACGTAGAAGCATGGAAAAATCGATTATTTCTACTAGCGATGGGAGTTGGGAAATGAAAACTCGGTCTTGGCCTTATAACTAACTTGGAGCATGTGCATGTAAATTTTGGTTCAAATCCGTCAAAAATTGCGGCCGTACATTCGTTACGCACACACACACACACACACACGCACATCCTGTCATTTATAGATAGAGATAAACAGGAAAATTATAAAAAAAGACTGAACGGAACTGTTATGCAATATCAATAATTGACAATCTTCTTACATATGAAGATGGGACGTGAAGGAACACAGAAATATTTCTTCAAATGGCTGCTGAGAATACGATGAGCAAAAAATATGTGCAACGAAGAAGTTCTGGAAAAAATGGAAGAAAAAAGGAAACATATACTTAATATCAGGAAGAGAAAATTGAAATTTCTAGGGCATCTAATGAGGAAAGAAGGCTTGGAAAATCTAATACACTCAGGATATTGAAGGCAAGAGGTACAGAGAAAAACAACACATGAACGATCTCACGTGCTTTAGTAAAAGGATAGCGGACGAGGTTTAGGTGAAATAACAAAAAGGCAACATTTATACCTAGGTTAAAAAAAGAGGAAATCGTGGAGAGCCATGAACGCCAACGCCCTGAAGGGACAGGGCACATAAAAGAAGAAGAATGAGCTTGAGTAAATAAATGAAAGAACAAGGTTTAGGAGAGATAAAAAAAAGACAAAATCTATTAAGAGTTACAGAGGACAGGAAATCGTGGAGAGTCATGATCACCAACGTCCTGAAGTGATTCAGTACATAGAAGAAGAATGAGATTTATTAAAAGAATTGCGGAATAAAGTTTAGGAGAAATAACAAAAACACATCATTTATTGAGAGCTAAAAAAGTGTGGAAATCATGGAGGGCCATGTTCGCCAACGTCCTGAAGGGACACGGCACATAGAAGAAGAGTGAGCTTGAGGAAATGGATGCCGGAACAAGGTTTAGGAGAGATAAAAAAAAAAAGACAAAATTTATTAGGAGCTACAAATGACAGGAAATCGTGGAGAGTCATGATCGCCAACGTCTTGAAGCGACCCGCTAGATGAAAGAAGAAGAATGACCTTGAGTAAATGGATGGTGGAACAAAGTTTAAGAGATAAAAAAAACAAAAAAAAACAAGATTTATTGAGAGTTAAAAAGGAGAGGAAATTGTGGAGAGCTATGACCTCCAACATGCCGAATGGACATGGTAGATAGAGAAAGATGAATATCTTAGTAGTTCATGGCTAGGTTGATACTATTAGTAATATATTAAACATTTGATTTTTTTCCCAGTTGTTATACAGTGTTGTCTTTGTGATGTGCGCTGTTGATTCTCAGAATGAAATGTCGTACAAAGATCTATTCAGGAATTGGTTCACGTGTACCTATCGCCGCTGAATAGAATCACTAGTCAGAGAGAGAAAAAAAAAACACTTCCTATTAGAGAGCGAGGCCACTATAAACATGGCTATTTTTTTTTATCTGTCCAGTTCTTTGTTCGGAAATGTTGTGTCGGTGTGTTCTACAAGAATTATTTACCAATAATTTTGTTGTGTTTTGCACTTACGCCAATGGTTGAAAACGAATAATTGGTTACTTGTGCTAAAATAGAAATATAAAATTAGCGTGCCAAAATGTATTTTTTTTAGCTCTATATAGTAAACGTTAAGAAGGACACACCCATCCAATATCCATATTAGAAAGAGCAGTAATAGCCACTGGACTTAATAATCCTGTTTTCCAAGAAATTGTTTTAAGATAAAAAAAACATTAATAAATTTCATCTGAAAGCAGTAATGACTGCTTAGTCAATGAATGCCAAATGTTTCCTTTTTGGAAAAAGGCCAATGTTACCATTAATATTACCAACATAAATTTGTATAGTCATTTTTCAAGCGTAGCTTAGATGTGGCACAAGACTGAAAGTAGGGGTCACCTTGTGAGGATCGAACTCACTACTCAGTCGTAATTGTTCTTGCTAACAATTACACCGCCTCGAGGTGCTCACATAACTTGGTATTTAGTCACAAGTATGGGGAAGATTGGTAAAAAAATAACACCTCACTACATCGGTAGTATATTTTTAAATATAAGTATAATATCAGGTAATACTTCATAAGGTCACATACACATACAGACAAGGTATGTCTCTCACTCACACACTCACACACACACACATACATACTTATATATATATATATATATATATATATATATATATATATATATATATATATATATATATATATATATATATATATGAATATTTCATTAAAGACGACAGACAAG